CGGGCATTGCCAAAACCAAGGAGCTCGTCCTACGGGAATATTGGTGGCCGAAAATGGGAAACGACATCACAGCATATGTAAAAGCCTGCGAGGCTTGTCAACGAGGAAAATCCTCTACACAAGCCCGAGCAGCACCCCTGCATCCTAACGAAGTGCCTTCCACCCCATGGACCCACATCTCAGTCGACATGATCACAGGTTTACCCGAGTGTAACGGATATGATGCAATCCTTGTCATAGTAGACCGGTTCTCCAAGGCAATCATCTCTATTGCGTGCTCCACGGAGTTAAATTCTGAGGGATGGGCCAAGATCTTATGAGATGAAGTATACGCCAAACATGGGATGCCCCAGGTCATCATCTCTGACAGAGGCCCCCAATTTGTCTCAAAATTCATCACCGACTTATACCGCCTCTTGAACATCAAGCAAAATGCATCCACCGCCTATCATCCTCAAACGGATGGTCAAACGGAACGCGTCAACCAAGAAATTGAAAAGTACTTACGGCTTTTCATCAACTACCGACAGGACGATTGGACTGAATGGCTTGCACTTGCAGCCTTTCAACATAACAACCGTGTACACTCCGCGACGGGAAAAACCCCATTCTTTATTAATCATGGACGACACCCTCACATGACTCAAACAAGTCGTCTTCATACGACTACACCCGCATCCTCTGATTTCGCTGCCTCCATGGAAAAAATCCATAACGAGACAAAGACTGCTTTGGAGAAGGCTGCAGCAACGATGAAAAAGAACTACGACAAACACCGGCGCACAAGTCGGATATACCAGCCAAACGACAAAGTATGGCTGGATACGACAAACCTTCACCTACCACGCCCAAAAAAGAAACTCGACGATAAACGTACGGGCCCCTTCATAGTTCTAAAAGCCATAGGCCCAAGTGCATACAAACTGCGCCTGCCAAAGGCTTGGAAAATCCACGACGTCTTCAATGAATCACTCTTAAACCCCTACATCGCGCCAGCCTTCCCTAATCAGGGACGTCCACCACCCCCACCACCAGATCTCATCGACGACGAGGAACACTTCGAAATCGACCAGATCCTGGATCACAAACTGCGCCGTGTCAAAGCAAAAGGGGGCGGAATGACAACAACAGTTGACTACCTAGTCAGCTGGAAGGGGTACGGTCCAGAATCTAACCAGTGGGTGAACGAAAAATATATGAATGCAGAAACAGCGATACACGAATATGAATTATCCCTTAATTAAGCCATCGGGACGATGGTCTTAACGAGGGGGTAATGTTACGATTTTTCCTTTTTCTTTTCCTTTTTACCCCTATTCAGGCTTAGTCAGAACACGAGACCATGGGAAGGGCTTAGTAAGCACAACTGAACCGCCTAGATACAACGACGCTCGACAATGCACAATTGCCCTTTTATGCACAACAACGATGCTCAAGGGCGATGGGCACCATGGACACAGGTTGACACAATAAGTAGTCGTATTATTAGCATTACTTGTACAGTATTTAAGACCGACAGCTCTCGCTGGTATACCCCAGCTTCGAGCTAAAGTTTATACATACCATTCTACCTCGAGTCTATATCTGACCTTGGGTCACACCGTCTGGATATACATATAGTGAACTCAGGTGATTCCCCGAAGTGTGAAGGAACACCTGTTTATCACGTGTATCAGTTCACGTGATGCTTGGGCTTAACACTATTTAGGAAGAAAATGGTCAAGAGGATGGATATAGATGAGTCAGCCAAGCCTCAGACAGATTGCATAGCTTGCATAAATGCCAAATATCATACCAAGCCATTTCCACAGGAAGCCGAAAGAGATTATACTGAAATAGGGGAAATGACATTTTCGGATCTATGGGGGCTGGCCCGAACTCAGGGTATCCATGGTGAAAGGTATTATATAAGCTTCACAGATGGAAAATCCCGAAGGACAATGTTGTATTTTTTGAAGTCAAAGCAAGGTATGGAAATTCGAAAGAAGATCCAGCAGTATCAAAAATACATCAAAGTCCACAAAGGGAAGGATCTGAAGTTTATGAGGATTGACAATGGAAAGGAATATGTCAATGAAGAGGTAAAGGAATACCTCCAGGACAATGGCATACAGTTGGAATTGACTGCAGCATACTCCCCATCTCAAAATGGAGTTGCTGAGAGAATAAATCGGACTCTTGTGGAGCATGCACGTGCCATGCTAGAAGAACATCACTTACCGAAGTTTCTATGGCCCGAGGCAGTGGCATATGCCACATATTTGAAGAACCGATCACCAACCAGGGCCATCAAGAATGATTTAACCCCAGAAGAAGTGTTTCAGGGCACGAAACCAGATATTTCGGCACTTCAGGAATTCGGAGTAAAGTGCTGGGTGTTGCAGCAAGATAACAAGAGGTCAAAACTGGACCCAAAGTCAAGGGAATTTATTTTCACAGGTCTTACAGATGAATCCAGGGCCTGGAGATATTATAACCCTCAAACCAGGCAGATTCAGACCTCAAGAAATGTTATATTCCCTGAAAACAACACTACAGAGCCTATAGACACTGACTATATAGTCTCCCACCCTTTGTCACTCGAGGGGGAGTCAGGGAGCAAAGTCGAGCAGACTCTGGATGGAAATGATGGCATTTCGGACGATTCCATGGATGCCGGAAATGCCAAACCAAAAGGGGAAATAGCCCCTGATGTGTCATCGATCAAATCAAATTTCCCAATATGGCGTGGGAAAGTGATCGAGCCACACGACAAATCGGTCCGAATTGCATCAAAGACTCAACCGAGTTACCGGACACTTCATAATCCAAGTGTACGAGCTGTGAAAACATCAGAACAACAGCATACCTCAGAAGAATCATCTTTGGAAGCCGTAAATGTTGCAATAGACTATGCATGCATTGGGGAAACTGCAGACAACCTCAGTGATGAGCCATTAAGCCTTGAAGAAGCCAAAACAAGGCCAGACTGGCATCATTGGAAGAAAGCAATGGATGAAGAATACAATCTATTGACTTC